TTCCGTCCACGGACGTGTTGGAATGCAAGCCTGCTCTATTTGGAATGCAAAGAGGCCGTTTCATTGTAATCTATAATTGTGAAATACAATGGCAAAAAAATGGAGACAAGAATCCATAAAAGTATATAATAATACTATAAAGTCTCTATTATCTTGGTGTCTCCCAGACAAAATATTATAAAATGTGAGTACATAAAAGTAAGAAATTAATTTAAAAAATATGTCTCTATTGAGCTTATAGCAATATATGGAAAGAAGATACAGACTACTTTTTAGTCTATAACAATACCCAGAAAAGAGGTACAGACCACTTTTAGTTGGTGATTTCATTAATGCTTCATAAAAATACTTAAAAATGGAAAATAAATATATAAATAAATAAAGAGATTAACCATGACTTCTCCATTAAATACTGGATCACTAGTTAGATACATAAAACATGATAAATGTTCTAAAATATAGAATCATTATAGTATCAACAATAAAATGCTTAATATAATAATAAAAAATTATGATATAAAATCTGTGCTGTATTAAAATGATGGTTGAGAATGGTCCACTACAAATGTGAATATGTTCCTCTAAATCAGAATCCTACTTAAAAATGGCATACTTCAAAATCCGAATTTAATCCGTGTGGCATTAGTGTACAGAAATTAAATATAAATTTCATCTCCTCTCTACCCATTTTTTAAATATAATTACCTCCTCTCCAATCTCTTTTAACTTCCTTAATTGCGCAAAAGGAGAGGCCTACAGAATTCTGATTATGTACTCTTTTAAAATGTTGAGGAACACTATGGGTTTCTAGACCATTTTTAATATCTCTCACATGCTCTGCAATCCTGATCTTTAATGGCCGAATTGTTCTGCCCACATACAATAAGTTACATGGGCATTGTAACACGTATATAACTCCCTTTGTATGTGAGATGATCAGTTATGGCGTATTTTTTATTAGTAAATTGATCTAGATTAACTATATGTCATCTTTTATTCTTAGTTTCCTTGCATGGTAGACAGGAGCCACATCTGTAAAATCCTTTTAAATCTTGTAAAAAATGGTTAGATTTCTGGGGGCTAAGGTGACTATTAACTAAAATATTTTTAAAAATGTTTGCCCCTCTATAGATAATTTTAGGTTCCACCAATAAAATTTTATTCAGAATAGGATCATCTCGTAATAGGTACCAGTGTTTATAATTATTCTCTGTACTTGTTTACTTTGTCCATGATAATTACAGATAAAGGGTATTCCATCCATTTTCGTTGTATTGTTCCTTTGTCTATATCTAATCAGTTCCTCTCGTGGTTGGCTTTCTACTTCCTTTAAATCCTTTTACATTAACTCTTCATTGTAACCCTTCTCCAAAAATTGTTCTTTCAAGTAGTTGGCTTGATTAATAAAATCTGAGTTTCGTTTACAATTCCGCCGGATCCTAAGGATCTGCCCCTTAGGGACATTATCCAGCCATGGTTTATGATGGCAACTGGTTTTCTCTATATATCCATTGGCATCAACTGGTTTAAAATATGTTTTTGTAACAATAGTTTTATTCTGAATGCTGATATGTAGATTAAAAAAATTAATTTCAAGAGGACTGATGATACTAGTAAGCTTTATTCCCCAACTATTGGAGTTAAGATATTCCAGAAAATGGTTAAATTCTTCTCATATCCCTGTCCAAATAAAAAAGATGTCATCTATAAAATGGCGATATGACACCAAGTTCACCCCCCCAGCCATGACCCTGCATGACATACCTCTCCTCCCAAAAGGCCATGAAGAGGTTGGCATAGCTTGGGGCGAACTTGGTGCCCATCGCCGTACCACAAGTCTGCATGTAAAAACCATTCTCAAACCAAAAAAAATTGTTGGTTAAAATCAATAAAATTCCTTCCAAAATAAAAGCTGTTTGTTCTTCCTTAAAATTGGACTTGGTTAAAAAATGTTGGACTGCCTCTATTCCTATATTGTGTGGAATAATACTTTAAAGTGAGGCAACATCACATGTTACTAATAGGTAGCCTTCTTTCCATTGGATGCCCTCCAAAATTTGTAAAATGTGGATAGTATCCTTCAGGTAGCTTGGATTGGTTACCACGATAGGTTGTAATAAGGTATCAATATATTCGGATACCCGGGTAGAGATGGAATCTATGCCTGATATGATCGGCCTCCCCGGAGGATTCTTTAGTATTATTATATACTTTTATGGATTCTTATCTCCGTTTCTTTGCCATTGTATATCACAATTTAGAAGGGATTATAGATTACAATGAAACGGCCTGTTTGCGTTCCAAATAGAGCATGCTTACGTTCCAACACGTCCATGGATGGAACACAGCAAGAGCAAGGTGGAACGCAAGCACTGCAATCCAACTTCACGTTGGACGTGGAGAAGTGGTGCGCGCTCAGCCCGGAGGTTGGATCTACTTCCGGGTATGCGCGCGCATACCCGGAACTACAATTCAATGACCGGAGGATATTGGACAGTATATAAGGGAGGAAAATGAGTGTCCCCTAATACAGCAACTGAAGAAGCCCCCACAAGGGGAGAAACATGTTTTGCTATTCTGGAAAAAGGACCTACGAATTGTAGGAACTTTTTAACCTATTTTATACATTGTTTTATATTATTGATTGGATACAATAAAGCTCATTTTGGAAAACCATTGGAGCAACTCTGTTACTGAGAGGGGCATCTACCTTACTACGTGTTGAAGAGGGAATCTACCCTACTATACACAGAGTGAGTGGGACCCTACAAGATCCCACAATGCTTGAAGTTTGAGCCTAAACTTTAGGCCCTACATTTGTGAGGGTTCTACCTTCACTTTCATTTAACATTTATTTATTGTAACAATATTGCACTGTTATCAGTCCCTTTTTTCCTCCATAGGAGTATCATCTTGGGACATTGTTATTATCCATTGTATGTAAGACACTCCACCTTGTTTGTTTTATATTGTATATTTGAAAATACTGAATTGAGGAACAGTGCCAGGGAAAGCCTGGTAAATATAACCACTTCAATTAGATGAACCAATCAATCAATGATCTTCTGCCATATTCTCTACCCATAATACCTAAAGATAGTTCCTTATGCCACACCCTTACTGAATACATTATGCTTCAATTAAAGGACCACTATAGTGCCAAGAAAACAAACTTGTTTTCCTGGCACTATAGTATTGATAGGTCCCCCCCACCCTCAGGGTCCCCCTCCCGCCGGGCTCTAGGGGGAGGAAGGGGTTAAACACTTACCTTTCTCCAGCGCCGGGACTCTCCTCCCTCTTCCGACGTCATCGGCTGAATGCTCATGCGTGGAGCCTCGCGTGCATTCAGTCAGTCCATAGGAAAGCATTTCTCGATGCTTTCCTATGGACGTTGGCGTCTTCTCACTATGAAAATCACAGTGAGAAGCACGGAAGTACCTCTAGCGGCTTTCAATGAGACACACCTCCCTGCATGTTACTTACACATGCTTCCTAAACAATTCCTGTAAAGGGAGATCTAATGTTTACATGTCCTCTTTTTCAAATTCTGTTTCATTTAGAATGTCTTAGCTCCTGCTCTGTTAATAGCTTGTTAAACCTTGCAGGAGTCGTCTGTGTGTGATTAAAGTTCAATTTACAGAGCAGGAGATATAAAACAAACTTCTAAAGTAAGTTACAATCTGATTGAAAATATGTCAGTCACAGCCAGCGGAGGTGTGGCTAGGGCTGCATGGACAGAACTAAAGTGATTTAACTCTTAAATGGCAGAGAATTGATCAGTGAGACTTCAGAGGCATGATATATGCACAAAAACTGCTTCATTAAGCTAACTTTTTTCCTAGAGACTGTAGTGTCCTTTAAAGCTAAAAAAAAAATGTTGTTTTTTTTTGTGATCTACATTCTACACATCCCCCACCTCCTAATCTACCCTATTCCACTAGGAGGTGTGTTCCACCAAGCAGTATGCAGTGGGGAAAAGAAGGAGGAAAGCAATAGGGCACAGGAATCTTAAATGTTTGCAAACAGGAACCACATCCACTAAATTCAACAGTTTAGTATGTGTAATACTGTTACATTCATATACTTTAACCACTTAAATATTGAATGAATCAGAGCTTTGGTAAAATAGCATTAATTTCTCTAACATTAAATATGAAATGGCAATGCTTAATAAGTGACAGAACAAAGAGGAGCACGTAAAGCAGGAAAAAAATATTTTATAAATGAGTAAAAGTGATGTTAACTCTTTCAGCAGGTTTTATGTTTAGTATAAAAGTTGCTGTCTCTTTAAGCATCTTGTTTTCCATGTAAAGAGTTAGTTTTGTCAAAATCATCAGACTTTGTGACAAATCTCCCACCTGAAGATTTATAAAAAAATAAAATAATAATAAAAAGAAAGAAAGAAAGAAAAATACAGAAACATAACAATTTTTAAATCCTGAGTAAAACACATTTTTGGGTCATTAGCATATACTTTAGAGCCAACTGCCAAAGAGCTACACAGAACACATAGTGGATGCTTGATCAAAGCCTTCCGGATGCTAAACTGGGGCTAAAGCTGACAATTTTATGACATTCCATTTGAAATAATATTCAATTTGAAACCATTAAAGTGCTTTGTTTAATATGCCTGGTGCCAGGCTTGTTGCATTACAACTTGCTCTAAACAATGTGAGAACTAAGTGCATGTAATTAGTTATGAGGGATATATTAATACATCTTAATATGTGTGAACCGTCCTAAATGTACACTGTTAAAATAATTTTACAACTCTATACAATAGAAATGTAACAGAAGGACATTTTCTTTTCTTAATTAGAACATATGGGGTTTAAGTTTCCCGCGTTAAAAATATTGAGGGAAGTTTACAAGGTCAACATTTTCACTCATTACGTTGTGATAAGGCAAAAACCATATAACATGAACTTGTACAATCATACAACATTTTATGGCCTCTTACTTTTTTTTTTTCTCATGTGTGTGTCCAGTTGATATGTGAGTCATGAGACGCGTCTGTTGGTGGCGTTTGAGAGTGGTACCTCAGGGTCGGGTGATGGTTTGCCCTTTACTGCTGCTAGGATGCGATTCCTGTCCGCCACTGACTGGTAGCGTACAATTATGTCTCGGCTGGCATCGGATGGGGCCTGTTGTGACTTGTTTATCCTATAGCAGCCTTCCAGCTGAATTTTCTTGGCTTGCGAATGCGGTAGGAGTGAGTCCATAAGCCATCTTAGATACTGTGGCAGTTCTGCCTGATCTATGGTGTCAGACACCCTTCTGAGTTTAATGTTGGCACATCGCTTGCAGTCCTCAGCTAAATCTACTCTCAGTGTCAGGTAGGTATGTGAATGCAGCAGGTTGTGCACCTCTCGCTTGAGGTCTTGGACCTCGGTTTCCATAGTCTGCGTGCGTGCACTAACCGCCTGCACCTTGGTGCATACTGCATCCAGGTTGGCTGCTGTCATATGTCTGAGTTCTCGCAGGAGGTTGGCAATATCCTGCTTGGTGGCCGGGGCTTGTGGGTCCTGGTCTGCCATTGCCTCTAGAGGTGTCATGGCTGGTGACATTATGGGTGAGTCCCCAGGGGTGGTTGTACCTGTTTGGGAGTCTGATCTGTGTTCACCAGCTTCTGGCCTGGTTGCCATCTTGGAGTTTGGACGCTGCAGCATCTCCCCTATGTTGTGCGATTCTTTGCTGGGGCCCGGTTGTGATTTCTGGGTTTTGCGTCCCATGTCTGTTGTGGGCTTTGGGAGATGGTCGGGTGGCCAGTCGGAGTAGTATATTACAGCCAGCTCAGCCTCTAGTCCCCTTGCGGCGGTTCGTGTGGCTGTGTAGCCCAGGTAGGCCCCAGATGTGCGTCTGGCTTTCTTACCCGTTTTCGGGTATAAAAAAGACATGGGGCTGTTGCTCCCCCTCTCCGGAGTTGGTGGGGAGTCGTGTGTGGGTCCGCTTGTTGCGGGTTACCCCAGATTTTTGCTGGTTTCCTGATTTTTGCTCGGAGCCGCGGGAAAACGCGTGCGGTCGGCTCTGGCGCTAAGCTCCACCCCCCATTATATATGTATATGTTTGTTTGATTGTTCATTGTTTAAAGGGACACTATTTACACCCAGACATTTTATCTCATTGAAGTGGTCTGAATGCAGTGTACCTGTCCCCCTTAGTCCTGCAACGTAAAACATTTTACTCTTTAAAAAACTGTAATGTTTACTCTAGAGGTGCTTCAGGGAGTTTACCAGACTCTGGGACTCTTAAATGATGCTGGACATCCTCATGCTCTGCACGAGAACATCCAACATCAGTGAAATCCCCATAGGAAAGCATTGAGGCGCATGCGCATTAGATTCCCCCTGTCGGATGATGTCTTAGGAGACTGCGCGCCGACCTAGCTCTGAAGGACATCGATGCTGAAATCAGGTAAGTGAATAAAGAGTTTTTTAACCTTTTATATGCTGCAAAGGGGGCCTGCCAGTGAGGGTGGGACCAGAGGGCTCTATAGTGTTAAGAATGCAGACTTGTATTCCTAACACTATTGAATCCCTTTAATACAATTTCTTTTTTTCTATAAGACATTTCATGTCTCTATCCCAAGAGGGTTAATGGCCAGAGGGAGCACAAATGATAACTAAAGTAGGTTTTGTCATCCTGAGCTAAAGCAGTTTTTGACTGTAAAAACTGGCACATCACTGGTGGATATACTTTAACTCTGAACTGTGTGTGGCAGACCAACATCAGAAGATAAAGTTACCAACCCTTCCTCTATCTACAATAAATATATCTGTTGCATGTTTAAATTACCTCTATATAACCAGTGTAGGGTAATCATTCCTGATAGCTATCCTCCTCCATAGTGTATCAACACAGCATCCTGTGGTCCTGTATTAGTGGGGCATTGTCATGATATTAGGATCACATGGTCTGGGCATATCCTGACCGTAATATGTAGAGAATAAGGAGACTGGATGCCCTCTTGTCCTTTCATACATTGTTGAAAAACTGCATCTATTACCCTGAACCCCAAAGGAATCATGTGCCAAACCCCTAACTGGTATAATAACTTTACTCCTTTGCTATACACAGGCATGTCAATTTAGTTTGTACTGAATTGAATAAATGATCTATTTCCTTTGCTTTTACCAATTCACCAAGATGTTTCAATGTGTTACCCAAGCTCCATTTATGCTCCAGAGATAATGGAAGAGGTGGTTTTTGGAGTACCTGGAATACTTGCACAATCTTATTGTTAGTCAAAGAACACGTGGAGAGGATGCGAAGGTCTTATACAGGTAACACATGGATAGTTTTAGCTTATCATTAGTTGATTGTTAGTGTTTCAGAGATGTCTGTGTCTGGACACACAGTATCAGATGATGGAGAAGACAAAGATCGCAGATGTGATTAACTGGCCAATGTCAAGATATGGATGGCATGTTATGTGTTGTTTGGTGCTGTTCGGTATAATGCTAGTAGCACGAGTAGACATATTGAGACTTGCTACTGCTATTAGTATTACACCAAAATACATATATTTATTAGGGTGTTATTGGTTACACCGGTACCATTTCAATTATTCCCTGATTTTATAATTATATGTACTAGAGATTATGTTTTAATTACTTTTCTAGGCTTCCTATTCTTTTTTTCTTGTGTGTTTCTATATTAATCATAGAGGTTATCCCCCTGCGCACAGTTTCTGGCAACCTCTATCATACTTTTCTATCTCGCTTACAATTTATTATAACGGATGGAATCTATCCCCTTTTGAGATGTAGCTACTATAGCACCATTCCAAAATAACCACCATAAAGAGAACTTTGTTAATCAAGCAAACATTAAAAAAAATATGTAATGGAATATACAATACAGAGTTGAAGTTTCCCACATGAAATTGTCTGAGAGATGTAATACAGGGTGGGCCAAACTTTAGAGTAGAGTTTGACAGGTAAATAAATTATTTGTTTGTAGTTATTTTTTTTATTTTTTCCAGATACATATTATAACTGAGTCTTTGGAGAATGATCATGGGTCATTTCACAATGGAACAGCGAACTAGCCAGAGAAAACAATGAAATAAATGAATTTATTCATCAACTCACCATTTCAGACAAAGCTCATTTTCATTTAAATGGCTTTACCAATTTTTGGGGTACAGAAAATCCATGTATAATTAATCAACGCAAATTGTACCCTACCAAATGCACCATCTAGTGCAGTGTAACCTTGCAGGAAGTTATCAGACAGAAATTTGAGTGCTAGAGCATTAAAAATGAACTAAAGTTTGGATTAATGCAATCCAAAGAGCCAGGCCCTGGGGAGATAGCACAGCTAAGCGGACAAGGGCACATGCATGTGTGTGGGTATGGATATTTGTGATTGGTTGTACGGGTGTATGGGAGTGGTTATGTGTTTGGGAGTGGTGTATTGATCATCTTACCTTAGTGCCTCTTTGGAGATGGGCCAGCAAACAACTTGCCTCCCATCCTCCCCTTTTTCTGTTTCGTGATACTTTCATGTCAAAGCTAGCGAAAGGCGTGTCCTTGACAAAAGGTTTTGGGGCTGTACATTGAGTGTCAGGATATGGACAAGGTTCTCAAACTCCCCTGCTCTTTAGGGTAAACTTTTACTTTACCGACTTGGACGTGCCCACTGAACTAAAAGCCGGCTGGTGGTAAGCATTGAAAGAAAAAGGGAATTTGATTGGACGAGTGAGGAGGCAAGAACCCTGTGGGCAAGTTTGTGCATAGGCACGTGGTCAATTGCATTGCCAAGGGCATTTATTTAAGCTAAAGTCTGTAGGGCACTAGGTGTTAATAATTACATGTTAAATTATGGGTTATTTATGTCTGGTTACATAGTTAAATGATAAAGTTTGATAAATGTTGGGTGAGTCCTACAGTCTTGCATTATAATAAATGATGTGGCCTGTTGCATCCAAATTCGTTGTCTGTCGTTATTGGGGGGTATTTGGGGTATGCCCTGTTATTATTATTGGCATCCCATATCCCGCTACATACATACATGACTTAAAAGATGTCATCTTTCAAACACCCTCTGAAACAAATCTCCATACGTTAAGCCATGATTGTATGTAACATCGCTGAAATTGTTTCCTTAATAAAAAAAACAGTTATTGACTCCTTAAACCCTTCTCTGAATTTTGGCCCTCCCTGTGTTTTCTGTAGGATATTCTTTTTCTTGCAATGCTAGGAGAAAGTAAATTTTTTTTCAATTTTTGTTCAATAATCATTCACATAAAATTTACCTTAAGCATAGGAAATGCTTTCCTATGGACTGATTGAATGCACGCGGGGCTCTTGCCGTCCCCAGTGTCAAGGGAGCCCGGCGCTGGAGAAAGGTAAGTGTTTAATCCCTTCCTCCCCCTAGAACCCGGCCGCGGGGGGCCATGAGGGTGGGGGACCTATTATAGTGCCAGGAAAACGAGTTTGTTTTCCTGGCACTATAGTGGTCCTTTAATATGTTAAGAGACTCCAAATTGCTCAACAACCCATTTGTCACAGGAACCTCTCTGCCTTTTCTACTTTTAACACACACACAGTCACACAAACATACATTAATAGTTACACATATATAAAGGCACACAGATCACTTCAGGTAGGTGACTTTCTATCCAGAGAAGATATTACAATGTAAGAATGGTGAAGCTACTAAAACTGAATCGGGATTATCCAGACTGATTGGGGGTGTAAACTATATAGCCACAATACATAGAAACCTCATTTAATACATCCGTACATGGTTTGAATGACTCAGGAATTCTAATGTTACAGCACAGTTACATCTACCGGTTCAAATATCACCATGAAAGAATGAAAACAGTTCTCAGTTTGTCCACACAGCATTCTAGCTCTCAGGATGGCTGTTTAAGGTGGAACATACCTTATGAATTATAATTACTAAAAGATCTAAATATGAGTAATTTGAAAAGGTGACTTGGTCAACCATGGAAGTTAGACTTTACCCTGTTGCTCATGAAATCATTTTTAAAATTTATTTAGTAGTGTGAATGGGTCTTATGTTCTGAAATATAGAATGTGAGAGGGAACAAAATGTGGTCTCATTTTCCTTGACTATTATATTAACGATCCCCATAAGACATGTTAGGTTCAAGCTCATGACTCATGATTAGAGTTTTCAAACCTTACTACCTCAAATATGTCTGAACTCCATTTCCCATCATTCCCACATAGCCATATGGCATCATTAAAAATGTAGTGTGGGAACACCTGGGTTGCTAAGGTTAGACATTACCATACCCAAGTAGAGTTAAGTTTGTTAAGTGACAGTTACCATTTGATGAAAATGGGATAATGACATTCTTTAATGTTATGGCAGAATCGGAAGGTAATATGTCATGAAAGAATTAAAAATGGCAATCATTTCTCATTATATTAATGCCCATTCTTTTTATTTGCATACATACATAATTTTTCTAGACAAAAAAGGAAGAAGGGTAAGCGAACTACACAACCAAGGCAGCACATCTGACAATATGGGGTTCCCTCAAAGCACTGAAAAAGTTACAGGAAGGATATCGGAAAACAGGTAGCAACAAATAGTAAAAAAAAGATCCTATATATCACTAGAGACAATAGTAAAATATCTCTAAAGCGTAGCGTAATAGTCCAAGAAATACTTAAAATTCCACTTTATAATGCTTGACAGAATTTTAAATGGACCCTATAGTCACCAAAACAACTTTAGCTTAATGAAGCAGTTTTTTGCCTCTGAAGTTTTACTCAATTATCTGCCATTTAGGAGTTAAATCAAATTTGTTTCTGTTTATGCAGCCCTAGTCACACCTCCCCTGGCTGTGACTGACACAGTCTGCATGGAAAAAAAATGTTTTATATATATCAATCAGATGTAACTTACTTTAAAA